ACAGGAGAGGAGGCATGCGCAGGTCTCTTCTCCCAGGTGTCCCGGTTGGAGCACACGTGGCGCCAGCTCCGAAGGAGCCACACGGAGGCTGCGCTGGCCTTTGAACAGGAGCTGAAGCCGCTGATGCGGGCTCTGGATGAGGGCGCTGGTGAGTGAAGGTCTGGGGCTTGGCATCCTCCGGGGGCCCAGACCAAATTTAACAGAAATCTTAATCTAGTCCTATGCTCTGTTCCTACATCAGTTCTAGGCCCTGCCCTCCACACGGGACTTGTTCCTAGGGCCACGCCCCCTTACCAGCCTTGATCCCAGCCCCTTTCCCTAGGCCCCGCCCCTTCGCCATAGACCCCGCCCCCCATATGGGGCTTGTGCTCCTGGCCCCTGTCCACAGACCCCGCTGTCGCTCAATCCTAAGCCCCGCCCTTGCATCTGTCCTAGGTTCCACCTCTGCCCCATGCCCTATCTACAGCCCCAAACCCAGATCAGACCCTCTCCTTCCGCAGGACCCTGCGACCCCGGCGAGGTGGCGCTGCCGCACGTGGCACCCATGGTGCGCCTGCTGGAGGGCGAGGAAGTCGCGGGGCCGCTGGATGAGAGCTGCGAGCGGCTGCTGCGCACCCTGCACGGGGCGCGTCACATGGCCCGGGACGCACCCAAATTCCGCAAGGTGGCAGCCCAGCGCCTGCGAGGTGAGCGTTCCCTCTGCTCTGTACTGCAGACTTCAGATCCGGCAAGCTCTGGCCGGACCCCCAAACCCAACCTGTCCCAGGAAGGGAGCCTCTCGCCACGCCTCCCGGAGCCCCACCCAAACTGGGACGTCTCCACTCCAGGAAGGTTCTCGCCCCAAGCAAACGCTGCTTCCAGCGGTATTGATAGGAACAGGGCCGCCCACCTCAAAACCTGTCTCTTATACACATCTAGATGTGTATAAGAGACAGGGACCCCCAGGTTTTTGAAGACCCCGGAAGAGACCAAAGGAGTCGTCCCAGGCTCCTCACGTCCTCAGGCGGAAACCTGCCCTGTGCCTCACAG